GTGACTTTTTGTTTTTATTGCGCCAGCAATTGATGTCTTCCAACAGAAAGGATTGATTCATCCAATTGGTTGGAGTATTGATTGGAATAAGAGAATTGCAATTGGCTTGAATGTGAATATTATTTTTTCCATTCCTCGTAAAATATAAATAAACGAGTTGGAGAATATCAACAATCAAGTATTTACAAACTCGTGATTTCTTTCGAGTAATTCACAGCATTAATCAGAAACTCATTCCACTTTGTAATTGTCTGGAGAAAAACAATTTCACATGATTATAAAAGCAATGGTGTACAACCTAACTGTTCTTCCCTCTCTGGAGAACAAAGAATGATGTTGATTGAATTATAGATGACCGTAACAATTAAAACGTTTGTAATTGCAAAGAGATTATTTTTTCAGTAAAAATAATTGAGAGAATGACTTGAATTTCATTTCGCGATATCCAATAATTCAAGTTCTCAACCACTCAAGTATCAATTGTCTACGTCAATTTTCCTTGAGTACTGTTCACCCAACATTATCGATTATTCACTCGAGGACAAATTTAACATCAGTATTTTAGACTTATAATGTTCCACTTGGACGATATAACGGTACTAAACCAGCAAAAGTCCTCGTGGGCTTCCGGAATTCCGCCTGTGCTGTGCAATACGCGTTTCTTGAACCGCAAACTATTCGTGCACTATCGCGTTTGTTCCATACAACCTAGCTATTTCCATAATCGATCGAGAACAGCGAAATGCTTTCCACTCGATGGACAGTAAATACTCGATGGATCGATGAATTTTTATCATTCTTCGTAGCCATGAGCATTTATTTCACCCCATACACGCTCCTTCATGCGTTGTAGATAAATTAACTCATTAGAATCTCGTTCATCACGCATGTTTTATTCATCCACTTAATTAATCGGTATTAAGTCTTTACAAGAATTTGTTCGCATTGAGAAATTACGATAACAAGTTGATGGGGTAAGAAAAATTGGCGCGATTTTTCAAGGGGATGCGGGTCAGCGGTTTACTAATTCGGTATGAAACATTTGACTTAGAAATTTCTCTGGAGATTATACCCCTTTCTTTAATCGTTGAAAGTTATCCCCTGGTGATAGGCACGTGCGAGAGTGACTCTTAATACCGGATTGAATAAACTCAGCCGTCGAGATAAGCAATATTTATCTAACGACTTGGCGAGAGTCAATGAACCGAGAGAAAAGCGATTTATAAACTGCAATGTGGCTCACCAAAAATCACGATCAAAGATTGAATTCTCTTTTGACAATGCATTCTGGAGGGAGAGAAAAATAAACTTGGTGGTTACAGGGCGGTCGACCGAACAATAACAAACTTTTCTCATTTCTCATCGGAATTCAATACACACCGAGTGCAACCAAAAGTTTATTTGGAAGGAGAAATGAGTGTGGAGTTTATTGTATTTTTACGATTCTTATCGGATATTTGTAAATACGTTCGCCTCACTGAGAAGAATATTGCAATTTTTCAGAAAATTATTTATAGGAAAGTTGGATATGAGAAGGGGACGATGCAGGAGTAACAATCGAGATTAGAATTTCTTTTTGGAAGTTAATGTAAAAACTAGTCATTACGTTAAACTGCATTCAATCACAAATAAAAAAATTATCTTAATGGAAAATTAACGCTGCGATCTTTACAAGCTATTACGTGGAATGACATTTTTTTTTTGAAAATTACAGACATTGAGTTAAAAACTTGACGTTTATCAACAAACTTTTGCAAAAAAAGAGAATGATAGAAAATACAATTTTTATACTAACAAAAAAATAATTCGAATAAAAATCTTATACTTGTAATGACGAATGAAGGCGAAAAAATATAAACACAAAATTCTCGCTCGAACGCCATTTTCATTCCAAGAAACCACAATAATTTCATAAAAAATGTTTCAATGACTGAATAAAATTTCGCCAACCATGTAGAATTTTCAATATTAAAAAATTGCGATTAAAAAAATTGACCACGCGGGTAGAATGGACCATATCAAAAAGACAAATTGTTTTTGCAATAATGACTTGATATGAATAATGAAAAATATGCTCATGAATTCGGACTGTCCAAACGAGATTTTAATCGCGCAAAAGTGATCAATATCATCACAAATAAAATTTTTTCAGAGGTCCATTTTGCCCGCTCTCTCCCTGTCCACCACCCATCAATGTTTTTATTTTATTTAATCAATCAATCAAATACTTGATGAATTACATGCGCATAACCATAACTCTTTCAACAAAACATGATATCAATAATAAAATGATAAAACGCATGACAGAATGAATAAATATTGGAATAAAATATAAAACGTGCCTCATTATGATGACCATTAGGAATAAAAATGAAATATCCATGGTGATCGATGATGTGGACAGTGCAAGAACTACCACTACGGCACATCACACCAACCCCTTCCATAAAGACAACTTGATCAACTCGCAGTTATCTTGTCATCTCCATGGAGAAGTGTAAAAAGGTGATTATATGACGTAGTGACAGCCCTTACACCGCTAAATCTGTGTGTCAGTGTAATCAATGATAATATATCGTATTACAGATGACCAAACGTGAAGAATGACTGACTCCATGCAGTGAAACCATCACCAATTTCCTCCAAACTCCTCTAAATGCGGAATAACAAATGAAAAAACAATCCAATATTTCAAAATCATATATCAAATATAATGAATTATTTTGATAAAATAGTCATTATAGACAAGAACCAGGAAATTACACTAAAAGCCCATTGTATATTTGATATAATTTTTCATTTTTCATCAGGGAGAAAACTATACTGAATTCGGCAAGAGAATGATTTGTTAATTATTCAGGTCATTACGTTAATGAATCAATTATCTGATTTCGATTGCATAATAACCTGATGAAAAAACTTAAAACATCTCTTAAAACAAATTAAATAAAGAGGCTTATCTCCCAATGAAAAAATAAAAATAGTTCAAGAAAATTGAAGAAAGAGGAGGAAAAACCAGATAGTGGAGAATTAAAAGTCAGACATTACGACACACTCGACAGAAATAAAAGAGGACAAAACTTCCTTGATTCCATGCTAATCAAGCGAGTTCGAATGTACAAGCCAGCAATTAAAATTAAATGATGAAAATTTCCCTCACCCTAAAATGGTAGAAACAAGTTCATTCCCTGTACAATAGTGACTAGTCTAACGGTATAAGTGATGAGGTGAGAAAATCCTCACGATCTCCACTGCCGATTGTAATAAAATCGATAGCTTCTGCAAGATCCACCACGCACAAGCAGACCCCGATACCAATTAATTATATCGATAACGTAACAGCATATACGGGTTACTTTGTAGAGCGGCGCGGATAGTATTATAGAAATGGCGAGATCGTTCCCAGGGGCTGTTAAGAGTACATAGCTATGTATACGATCAAGATGGAGGCGCCAGATCAAATCAAGAATTGCCCAGAGGAATCTCCTCGCACATTTTAGAAGCAATGATAACAATAATAGGATAAATAATGACGAAAAAAAAAATTGCATCCCGCATATTTTTCTCTTAATTAAAATATTTCCATTTTATGACTATAGAATGTAAATATCCTCAAACTATTCATTGCGGAATAGAAAACTAGCAAAAAGCGTTGCATTCTTCTCGAAAGAAAGTAAATTGCACTTGAAAAGAATATAATAATATACTATTCGTATTCATATTTTTTTCCGCTCATGATTGAGAAATATAAATTTCAAATGAAATAGAGTTGTGCATTCCGGAAATGTTACATTCTTGGATCACTGTTATTTATGATTATCGCGTTCAACTTGTAATTAATGAAAAGGGGGAGCCAGGTAAATGGTGAAGGCAGAGTTCGTGGAATATGTGATTATTACTCAGCTCAACCTTTAAATTACAAACAGCAAAAATCACTGACAATGACCCGTAATTATAAACAATATTTCGCGAAAGTGAATCCATAGGATACATCAATTTCTAGAGTATGTCTAAAATGGCATAATTTGATGATTTGCTAATTTTAAATTGACTAATTGCTCGTACATAGCTTAATCCCGCTAAGAACTAATTACCGAGTGAATGAAATAATTATAGCGTGGAGAGAATTATTGATAGCAGTATAATTTTATTTTTTCAGCCGGCAGCAAAAATAATTCTTTCACTCGAATGGCTTCATCAATCATTTCGTACCGTGAAAAAGAAAATTTTACAATATTTCCGCTGAAAAAAATTGACAACTTCATTCGCTATTCGTAATATACCCATGAAGCATACGACAAAGGGATTGCTTGAATGAATAGTAATTAAGATTGACGTTATCAGAAAAATGTCTTTGAAAATGGAATTTATGAAAATTACCGACTAAATTCAACACGTGTGGTCAGTGATCTTGTGATTCGAAAGTCCCGATAATTAGATGTCTGTCGCATTGGTTATAACACACTATCAAAGCAGTGGATTAAACTGGCCAGTTGGCATAAGTGTACACAAGGCAATGTATCCAGGTTATATGAGATGTAATAAGTATGTCTGTTCGTTCTAGATTGCGTGACGAATCAGCGCCTACAACTTTGATCTGTATAAGGAAGCCATCATTGTTACTTTCTATTACACTATTTCCTAATTCGCAGTGAAAAAAAAATTTATCCATACAAACAGTCAACATTCCCTACTATTTTTTCCCCAATTAACCTAAACAGTGAATAGGAAAGAGCGCAAGTTGCAGTTTAATAGGAAAAATTTGAGTGAAAGTGATCCAATAAAAATATATTGTCACCCATGCAATTAAGTACCAAGTAATGATGAAATTGTTAATTATGAAGAAATGAATAGATCATCTTGTTACGGGTATGCGTAAGGATATAGTAATTGAATAAAATGGCTCGTGCATGGGAAAAGTTCTCCCGTGAAAACAATAGATCCGTAAATTAACCGAGAATGGTATAGTTCTAGAATACAACACTCTATGATACTATTACCGGAATAGTTTAAACTCGTGTGTCCGATGGCGTCTAATTCAAATCCAGGAATAATTTCCCACGGATGACTGGGTCAGTCACACAAGTGTGGAGTTGTCTGAGTCGACGAGCGGTAAATCTTTTTATACCTTATCAAAGGTACACTGCAAGAATGTACACTATAGTAAACGTATACTGAAAAAAAAGTAAAAATTGAAAAAGTACTTTTCCAAGTGAATTCACCTGGCGCAATGAAATGTATATGAATATTTACATTTTAAGTGTGTGGCACTTGTTGGAATTACGATGCAAGTATTTGGAGAACTCTTGATAAATAAAATGAGTACTTGTTAAGTAATGGAATCAATACCCATCTGGTATTGAGTACTGGCGGAAAAGTATTTTAAGTATTTTCATTTTTTTTTTCGAGTACACTGAACTAGTTATGGGGATTCAACATCATCTGGCATATCCCGCAGTTAAAATTCATAACTGGAGAATGAGTTGACTGATGTCACTTTAGAGATAAGCGGGTTAAACTACTTCTCATAAAATTGAGGTTTTGCATAATTCTTATCTGTTTATTGTGGGATCTACGGAATAAATGGAGGATATTGTACTTGATTCAATATTTCCTCTCCAAATTAAAGTTTTGTGCTAATCCCGATTTAAATTTCTATTTCTTTGCGTTAAACATATTTTTTCTGTGAACACTCAAATTTAATTTCGTCCTTTTTAATTTTTCTACTAAAAAATAAAACGAGTCCCGAGCGATCAACTTTATTATTCGCCACGTAATAACAATATAAACTCGTCATTTATTCATCTGTTTATTTGCTTTAATTTTTATTCTCAATATTCCGTTCCTAAAATACCGGAGTACTCCAGTAATATGTTCATTGTCCTTCACCACCACTGGGTTATAAAACTCAAACAATAATAAAACATTCCACAAAGAATAAACGTTTAAAAAATTCATTTCACTTTTACGACCCCTGGACCATCCAGCCGAAAAAAAAAAATTATAAACAAACGACAAGACGAAGAGAGTAAATCGATTTTTTTATGCGTTCTCCTTTCACTCATCGAGTGAACCGTTGAAATAAGACACGTTCATTCGGATAAAACAATCAAGTCAGTCAGAGGAAATGAAAGGAAGTGGTAATGTAAATATGTAACCGTCGACTGCACTATTCTCCGAAATGATTCGAGAATCTTTACTATCGTTGAGAGTCAACGATAAACACTGGAATAAATATGCCGGGATTATTAAGCTCATGTTACGGTTATGAAGGGTACATTGTAGAAGTATCGGATAAGACCTCTTTGTGACTCATTAAGGAAATCCGAGTAGTTCCCTCAAATGACCATCTATTCCCCAAGTGTCGTAAATCAACCGCGTAGTTAGTATTGTTTATTTTCTGTCAACAAGTCAAGCTAATTGTAATGAAAATTCCGATAAATTATAACGAAATGTTCTAATTACAAAAAATTCCCAGAGAGATCAAATGTTTTGTGAATTTACGATTGTATGTTGTTATTTTATCGCCAGGAAACGATCCGATGGTTTTACGCAAACTTATGAAATAAACAGAGCAATTAAATTTTTCATTTGAAATTAATCAGGTTTCTTTGCCTCAATAGTCTGTACGATACAAAATCGGATAATATTCCGTTTCTATTTCCGTTGATAGCGCAGAATTGTTCTCAATTTGAAGCGGCTATTTTGCGTTCTAAATCGATATTCATTATCCCAGGGATTTAATGTCAGTGAATTTGTCTAGATTAAAGCAAAAAAAAATGTATTGGTAAAAAGTTAATGACAGGTATTAAGAGTGAAGGTAACAAACGAGTTTACCCACGCGAAAATTCGATCCAACAAATGGAAAAAATGGATTTGCGCCTACAGATTGATAATGATCCAAATTTGAAAAGTGCTTCGTTCCCCAAGGCAATGAGAGTAAAAAAATAGCCCCGGGATATTTAGGAAGAACTAATATATTCAAATGGATTTGGTTGGTGGACCATCTAATTTTGATAACGGAAAAAAATTGTTTTTGTAAATGATAGACAAGGCTAATCGTATGGAACTTTCAAGGAAAATATATCAACATTCAAGCTAAAAGAATTAATAGCAAAAGTTATTTCACTGAGCAATAAATTACAAAGTGTTTGTTTTCGGTAGCGAAACGATGATTCAATTAACGCCGATTTTGGTGGGTCTCTAATTCTCAATGAAAGTCTCGAATTTATGAGATTTTTTTTTCTCCCAATTTCTCAATTTTAGAGATAATTCTTTTTCTCTTCAAGAAAATATTCGCTAGTTCTCAATGAATGTCTAGAATTTATTCCTTTATTTGTCCGAATCCCTCAATTTCAGAGATATTTATTTTTCTCTTGTCGGAAATAAATCTAAATATCACCTTCTGTCTCTTCGCTACCAAATAGGATTACCCCGCCATTTCAAATCAATAAAATACGAATATTGCGATAAAAGTTCCAAGTGTTTATGATACTTCATTAACGAGACAAATTCAATCAGGCTTTTACTCTTCTATCAGCATTTAATCGCTGGTTATTTATTACTATTATTCCGAGCAACGTTTATAGATTTTAAATATCTCTTCAATGATATATATTTAATTGATGAGAGTTTTTTTAATAATCGACGGAATTAACTTGTCATGAATATTCTTAATAGACTTAAGTGTTTGAAAATGCAAGTTAAAAATTGAGCAGAATAATAACACTAATCAATATACGGAAATGGAAAAATTTTTCAAGAGTCATCCGATCTAATGAAATATTTTCCTCACCATCGATAGAAAAAGTTTTACCTCTTGAAAAATAAATTGTTGAATTAAACCCTGACAGACACACACGATTCAAGTTCACCATGATTGGTTAGACACGGATTTTTTTTCTGTACTTTCTCCACTGGTATCGACTCCACCATAAGAATTCATTTTTTACTCCCAATTAGGGTGTATAACGTCCTTCAACTGATGTATCATGATTCGAAAGAAAATGACGTAACAACTGGAATTCCGGTTTAAAAATCAAATGTCTCAATGACTAACTAAAATTGTTGGAATTGTTGAAATGCACTTGACTGCCAGAAGTCACTCTACAATTAAACCGACATAGAAACACTGCAACTAAAATAACAAAAAACCGATAACAAGTGGTCGTAATCCTGTGCAGCTGTCAGGGGTATATCCATTATTCCATTGCGCCATTAGATAAATTTCAATTCACCAAAAATTAAAATTGCATCGAGCGAAAAATTCAGACAACCTAAATTCTTACCTCTAATTGTAATTGCTGCACCAGAATTCACGCGCGTTAGTTATAAAACCGAGTAATCAAATACCGGGAGAAACTGATAAAAATTCCACGACTCGAATAAAATGAAAATTAAATGAAATCACTAATGAATTTTGATTTGAATGAAAAATAATGTTATGCAACATTTTTGTTTATTCAACAACTGGACTCAATGTCCAGTTATGAATGAAGAGTGGAGGAGAGATGTGGAAGCGGTGATGACCAGTGACCGATTAACGTCAGCAAGAACTCTCTGGAGCTCTCTGGTACCTCTCGTCCACTTCCCCGGAAATCTTTCAAATAGTCCCAACTCCCGGTGCACGTTTTCCTTACGAATAGTTGGTACAACAAAGCGCCCTGACGTGACGACGTCGTGTACTATTTCATGGCGTCTCGCCATTGCTCAAGCATCGTCAGCGACGCCGATAACGACCCCAGACAAAGACGAGGTGGAGTCATTCCTCATTTCCCCCGACTATCGTCTTATCTACCGGTGATTATATTACGCCAATGAATATTACCGTTCGTTGAAAATCATACAATTCTCGAGGAGACTAAATACGTTAAGGATGTTCCGCACCCATACCAATTTTTTACACATGGAGAGAAATATTCAATAAAATTACGTGTCTTTTCCGTAATCTCGGAGCGAAATGTGGTTGGCGGACATTTTACGGAACTGTCACGTAATTTTTATCTACCGTTACGGAATTTTTCTGCGGTGTTCCGTCATTTTTATCTGAATTATCTGTGAAAAATTACGATACCGTCACTCAAATTTTTACAGTCGATTATCCAATCGGTAAATGAATTGAAAGTTCCGTAATTTTCACGAAATATTTACGTGTATAAACAGAAAAATGTTCGCACCACCTTGAAATTTCGTGAAACATTAAATAATGAGAAAACGCGGGAGTGATATATATTTTTTTAACTCAATTTTTTTGTAAAATGAAACATTGGATATATAATGGAATTAATATTTTTCTTCAATGTAGCTACTCATATTCACGGAATTAGAAAAAAATTCTAGCAGTGTACGTGAAGTGAGATTAGATTGAAGCTGCGAGTGATTTCAATGAAAAATAAATTAAAAAGTGTTTGCTCTCGGTAGCAAAGCGATAATCAGATTAACGCGAATTCTGGCTGTTCTCTAATTCTCAATGAAAGTCTCAAATTTATGGGAATTTTTTTCTTGAAATCCCTCAATTCCAGAGGTATTTCTTTTTCTCTCCAATAAAATAAATCGAAATAGCATCCTCTTCCTCTTCGCTACCAAATTGGATTAACTCGCCATTTCAAAACAATAAAATAAGAATATTGAAAAAAAATTTCCAAGTGTTTATGATACTTTATTACTGAGACAACTTTAATTAGGTTTTTACTTTTTTATCGGCATTTAATTTCCGGATAATAATTATTATTGTTCTCAGCAGTCTCTATAGAATTAAAAAAAAACATTATTTCCATCTACTTTTACCGCGATTTTTTTGGTGTTTCATTGAATTTTTCTTAACATACGTAGAGTGTCAGAAAATGCAAGTTAAAAATTGAAAAAATAATAAGACCAATTAATATATTAATACCGTGCGGTGACGAATTTTCGGCAGAAAAAATATACCGGGAAAAAAAAGTTCGCATTGAAAACGTGTTAATAAACCCAGCGAACTTAATAAACCACAGGAAAATAAAAATTGCTGTATATTTTCTGTGGTCTATTTCTCGAGGGATTCGAATATTTGCGTAGTTGAGGGTGCGGTATAGTGGCACATCGAGCCCGTGTACTTGGCTTCGACAAACTCGCTCTCTTTCCCACACGTTATGTAGTATATAAACGAATAAACGAGTTAGCTGGCAATACGACTCGTTAGATTGAAGCTGCGAGTGAACGCGCAACGTTGAACTAGAGTGAATTCGCAAAAACCGCGTCGCACCAAATAGAGAAAGAACGATATACAACAGCAACACCAACCAACCAACTCCATTCCACTTATCTAAAATGGACCGCAGGCTAAAATGGTCCTCTGGGAAAAATTCTCCAACTCGAGAAAATTTATAATTTTATTCGTTCGTCGTATAATAAATTCATGACGCATGCTCAATTGAACACCATTTACAACCGAAAAACTTGGTACATAAGTTTTATCATATTATTTGGGATTCTGTTTAGTTATCGATTTGATGATTCGATTATTCTTCAATTATCGTGTAATTTTATATCGTGAGGATATTGCTGTTACCGTGGAACGATGAAAATTTATAATTCTATTCATCTCATGATATTATCAATCGATTGAAATTACTTTGGGAATTATTATTACTGTTATTGTTAATGAATCCAATAAAATCACAGGCTCGAAATGACGATTGTCTGAGGGAAGAAATTCTGCGAGTCGTTCCATTAAATTCAATGATTTTCTTTCGCAATCCACAAAAATACGTAATTCATGACTCCTAGAAAAATCTATAGCACAACACGCGTGAAAAACCTGTGCAATTTGTAACAAGCCAACGCAGTGTGAATGATTGATGTTTATGCTGTATAATTCCACCGCTTCATCACCAGTTCAATCGGGTGCCTGTCATCAGTGTGACAACGGCCAAAAGTTGAAATAACAAAAAAATTAAACAATTGTTATTTTATTAGTAACGGTACATCATCAGATATACCTTCTCTAGAGTGAATTCTCACAATTCTCGTGAAACAGTAAAACCTGGTGAAGAAAATTCAGGTCGCCAGACTGTCAATAATAATGAACCATGTGGTTAATAATCTAACGGTTGCAACAAATAGTACAAAACAATCCCTCCACGCGATCGAGTCACGATTTTGATCAGTGCCAACCGAGTAAACTGACATAAAACACTGGGTATCATTAGAAATTCGAGGAATTCCAGTGACGTATCGGTGTAAACAATATGATAAGGTGGCGCGACACGCAAAATAAAGTATACTTGAATCTCGTATATTTTTTATTACTCGATTTAAATGTATTTTAGTGAGAAATATACTTAATTATTTTATACTTTTCGGTTTATTGTAAGCCGAATTACATTTAAATCAAGTACAAAATACACTAGACTCAAGTTAATTTTTTTTCTGCGCACAAGTAAAATTCAAATTTCGAAAAAAATAACATCGCATTAACTTGAAGATCGCTCGAGTCATGAAGTGATGAGTGTATTTACCATTTGAACTAAGGTCACAGCTGAACAAACACTAATTGTCGATTACAGAGAATAGTGAAAATATGAAGTAAAAAAAACGCTTGAACATTCGTACAGCTCTGAATTTACTTGAAATTTAATCAGTTCTTAAATTGAAAAATCAATTTCCCTGAAAATTCGGTCAAATAGTTATTTTCCCGTCCACAATAACGGAAATTAGTGGAAAGAGTGTAAGATGAATTCTGTAATTTATAGTCATCCCCGTCAGTGCTGACATGAACATGAAAATATCTCGAAGACTATTCTGTCGTGACCAAATGACCTTCACAATGCAATTCTAGCTGTACACCTGTAATGAACTTCAAATATATTTGCTGACTCACGGTGAAAAACCCGTAGAAGAATCAAATCAAGGAAATGCCAAATGGAAATATAGTAATTCAATTGAGCTATGAGACAACTAAAAATAATTAACCTGATAATGAAGGAGGATCAATGCACCAGAGAACGAAAAGTAAAAGGTCACTGATAAATAAGAAAGCACTTCAACCTCAAAACACTAAAGATCTCCTACATTTCACTCCAGAATTACGAAAAAATTACGTAATACTGAAATCAACTGTCAAATCCCTTAGATTGATGTATATTAATGCATATTAATCCACTTATTTCAAGTGCAAAGCATATTTGAAGCATAAAATATACTCAATTGAAGTATTTTTTGTGTGTGTGTGCACCTACTGCCTCTAAGAAAATCAAACGTAACTTGGTGTAGCATCGAGCGAGTTGCACTCGTTACTAACGGTAATTCCTTTGGACTAGTACCGCAACTATCCTTGCTATTTCAGTGTGTAGCTTGTACTATCTATAGGTAGATATTTTCAAGTGTAGATGTGAGGGAATAGTGATGCTGTGCGTTACAGAGCAGATGCGACTCGCACGTCCATCACCAAGCGATTCTTCCCTTTTTCATTTAACCGTGTGCACTAGTGTCTGAATATCTTTTTCACGTGCATTTCATTCCTACAGTCGACTCACCAACCGATAAGCTATGTCAATGCATTTCACTCGATCGATACTCGTTAATATTTATATGCAAATATATACCCTCTCGTTTTTTATCCTACACTCCTAATCCAACCAATTGGACAGTTGACGTGGACAGAATTTCAATCAATTGGATGTCTCCAGGTGAAAACTCAAACACTACTTTTATTTTTGCATTGAGTCGAATATTTTCCCAGGGATTTGCGCACAGATAAAGCTTTCGATACCGCAGAATTAATTGTTCGTCAGAAATATGTCCCGGATTTATTTCAAAGAGAATAATTTCCCTGTTACGACTAGTTCATCTAGACTTTCAACATTTATATTTGCAAATTAGTTTCATGGATAAGTGTATAGGCAATAAAATATTTAAAAAAACCACATCAAGCGGATATTTTACGCAATTTTTTTGAAAATGAAAAATTGAAATATTTCCGTGATTTAACTGACCCTTAACCCTTGAATTGAAATAAATTTTCTATTGAATTCCCTGTCGGTTTACTGATAGTGAACAGCATGGTTCATTGGAGTGAACCTATTGCACCTAAACCGAGAACTTTACGATTGAAATAAATTATTCATTTCTAAATGATGTGATCATCAAGCGTGCACATTATCCGGTAATTTTTCCACTTTCCGTACTTGTTCTAAAATAATTGTACATGTACTGAGGTTATGTGGTGCAGTATGTAGTTGAAGGTGGAAAGAGGCAGGATGTGTCGGGCGTGCCGGAGGAAAAGTAACAGTAATGTCTCGTATGTTTACCCGCCCACGTTGCACCCAGCGTATTATCGACTCGATTTCTACCCGCGATTGTCATTAATACCAGGGCCTGTAGCCACCAACCACCATATCACGATGTATGAATGTCATTTAGCAACCAGGGAGGAGAGAATTAAATAGCTATGCGCCAATACTCCACCAGTTCATATCATCCAACTCATAACAATTATCGAG